ATGTTCTTAGGTGCTATTGAGTTGGCTCTGACTCATAGTGACTGTACACACAGCAGAATGATACACTGCCTGGTCTTGTGCCATCCTCACAATCCTTCCTATGCTTGAACCCATCATTATAGCTACTGTGCCATTCATCTCATTGTTAATGAGTCTTTGCCAATCCTTATGCTACATTCTTCATAAAGTCCAGCTTCTCAGATTATTTGCTCAGCATAAAGATTGAATAAGTATGGTGAAAGGATACAACCCTGATACACACACCCTTCTGGTTTTAAACCATTCAGTATCCCCTTATTCTGTTTGAATGACACCCTCTTGGCCTATGTACAGGTTCCTCTTGAGCACAATTAAGTGTTCTGGAATTCCCATTCTTTGTAGTGTTACCCATAATTTATTATGATCCACACAATCAAATGCCTTTATGTAGTCAATAAAACACAGGTAACCATCTTTCTCGTATTATTTGCTTTCATCCAGGATCCCTCAGACATCAGCAGTGATATCTCTTATTCCATATCTAAATCCAGCTTGTATTCTTGGCAGTTCTCTGTCTAAATTCTACTGCAACCATTTTGGAATTATCTTCAGCAAAATTTTACTTGCATGTGATATTAATGATATTGTTTGATAATTTCCACATTCTGTTGGATTGCTTTTCTTTGGAATGGGCACAGATATGGATCTCTTCCAATTGATTGGCCATGTAGCTGTTTTCCAGATTTCTTGGTATAGATATGTGAGTGCCTCTAATGCTGCATCCATTTGTTGAAGTATCTCAATGGGTATTCCATAAATTCATGGAACCTTGTTTTTTTGCCAGTTCCTTCAGTGCATCTTAGGCTTCATCCATCAATGCCATTGGTTCTTGATCACACACTACCTCCTGAAATGGTTCAACATTGACCAATTCTTTTTGGTACAGTGACTGTGTACTCCTTCCATCTTCTTTTTATGCTTCTTGCATCATTCAATATTTGCCCATAGAATCCTTCATTATTGCAACTCAAGGCTTGAAATTTTTTCTTCAGTTCTTTCATTTTGAGAAATGCCAAACATGTTCTTCCTTTTTGGTTTTCTAACTCCCAAAATAATCACAATTAACTCTCTGATAAATGTCCTTTCTATTTTCAGGTGATGCACACATTGACTTTTATTTTTAGAAAGTGAATATGCTATACATATGATTGTTTAGGTCATAAAATAGCTGTAGTCATTATAACCACTTATTTAAAAAATAATTAATCTATTTTTTCCTCTACCTAATTTTTCAGTACTTTTTTCCTTAGTGCAAAAAGGGCGTGAAGGCAGCTACATACTCCTCTCACCTCCTCCAGCCTCATAATGGGGAAACAGAATCACCATCAGCAGCCCAAGGCTTATTCCTGTGAGGCCAGACATGCTGCCACCCTCCAACCTTTTTATCAATTCTGACACCAATCATCCCGCCCATAGCACTCTCTACTTTTTTTCTGGGTTCGATAATTTGTTGCAATGGCTATACAGAACTCACAGAAAATACTCACAAGTATAGAGTTTATTATGGAAGTAACAGGTTACACAATTCAGATTCAGGAATGCTCAGGGTACAATTCTTTGATCATGACAGCCTCCCCTCAGAAATACCCAAAGGCTTGCCTTTCTTTGGCCCTTGACCTCTCTGCCTGGCCTCTGCCCTGCTTAGGCAAATGTTGCAAAGCTCTTTTAGCTCAGCCAATAAGTGTAGCTAGGTGTACCCCATACCACCAGCACCTCCTGTTCAAAGGCATTCAGCTTTCTTGCTCCATGGGCTGGCAAGCCTGCAACTCTGTCTCGTGCCAGTCTCTCAGGTCTGCTGCTGCCATCTCTCTGCCATTGTCTCGGTCATCTCAGTGCAGGGATCTTGAGTCCAAAGACATGCTCCACTTCCAGCCTCTCTCTATTGATGACAGTGACATCCCTCCTTTTCCACCACTAGGAGGACTCATTGTAAGCCTCGCAAAATGACAAAACTGACCAATCCCCACATTAGGATTCCATCCACCTTATTTGCACGGTCCCACCCCCACAAGGGTGCCATGTACCTTATGTACATTACTAATAAATTATCCAATCCCCTTGGTAGACCACAAGCACCTTATAATCTGGTGGAAGTCACAAAGACCATTGTTAGAAAAGCCATATTAAGTAATCCGCTGTACCACATTTAGTAAACTAGCCCCACCAAATTAAAAAAAGTACAAAAAAAAAAAAAAAAAAAAAAACCACCTGACTATTTTGTTTGGATTTGTAAGTATAGATAAGATATGTATATGAGAACTGCTGTCCTCTTTATATGTTGTCGTATTTTTGTAGACATTTTCCATTTTTTAAATAGATGTCTTTCTCAGTGTCACCCTTTTGGTTGGGTTTTTCTTTTTAAATTGATAGAAAGTACATATAAGAAACATATCCACATAGAGAAAAGGTAATTTCTGAGTAGAAGAAAATCAGCAGACATTGAAAGATAAATTAATAATAATACCTTAAATACTGACTGTGGAGCTCTGGTGATGTAGTGATTAAGGCATTTGGCTGCTAACCAGAAAGTCAGTGGTTCAAACCCACCAGCCACTCTGCAGAAGAAAAATGAAACCATCTACTTCTGTAAAGATTTACAGCCTTGGAAACCCAGTGGGGATCACTTTGAGTCAAAATCAACTCAATGGCAGTGGGTTTGTTTTTTGGTTTGGTGGAGTAAATACTTCCCCATTTTCCCCATTAAAAATAAGGGCTGAAGATGTTTTGTAAAAATCAGATTTTGACCTTTGAAAACATTTATAGGACATTGTTTATAAAATAAATATTATGTTATTCTCTTAACTTTTAAAAATGCAATTTAAAATTTCAGGAAGAAATGAGAAGAGCCACAATTGATATTCTAGAAATTGAAACCATGGAACTGAGCAGACTATACTTTCTATTGGAAACTCTTCCCAGTTGCTTTACCAGAGAACTGGAAGGTACTTTTGAGATTATCACCTGTAGAAATTTAGTTTATCATGTAAGAAAATAGAACCAAGTACTTGTAACAAGATGAATTTAATAATTATTGCATGTCTAAATATAGCAAGAAAGAGTGCACAACAGAAACACAGTGAGATTTGTAATAATTTTCCCTTATAAGTGGAAATTTTATAAATATGTGATTTTGATTGATTGGCCATTCTAAACTACAAAGCTAGGTGACTTCATTAGTGAAGGTGAAGTCTTTCAAACACTTAGAGAAGATTTGGTAAGAATGATGTTATTTTATTTTTGGTTTATTAAAACCTAGGAACAAATCTAAAGAAAGATGTAAAAGACTTATAAGCAGAAATCTATGAATTGATTGTTGAAAAAATTAAAAAAGCCTAAATAAATGGTAGAATGTACTATGTTTAAGATGGAAGACTCAATATTATAAAGATGTCAAGTATCCACAAATTAATCTTTGGATTTAATGCACCCACACAATCAAAATTCTATCAGGTTATTTTATGGGCAGTGGTTCTAAAATGTGCATGGACGTGTAAACTGCCAAATGTAGAGAGCTAAGACAAGCGTGAAAAGATGAACAAGGTGAGTATTATATCCGGGATAACAAGATTTATTATATTGCTGTAGGATTAAGGCAAGACAGTCTTGAAAAAGTTGGACAAGGTGAGTATTACATTCGGGATAACAAAGATCTATTATGTGGCTATAGTAGTAAGGCAGTGTGCTTTTGGTGAAAGTATAGACAAACAGATAACTGGAAGAGAATAGAGAATTCAGAAACAATCCCATTTAAGCATGAATATTTAATTTATGATAAATATGGCTCTGTAGAGCAGTGGAGAAAGGACAGGCTTTTCAATAAATAGTTCTGTATCAATTGAGTATCTACATACCAAAAATAAATGAAATGTGACCCTTACTTCCACCACAAACAAAAGTTTTATTGCAGAGGAAGTTTAAGTTTAAATGTGAAAGGTAAAATTTTTGAAAATAGCTTTTAGATGATAATGCAAAATATCTTTATGTCCTTTGAGAAGGGAAAGATTTTATTTGGAGTCTTTTGTTGGGGAGGTGTGTGTGTGTGTGTATAAAATGTATGTATAAGAACATATAACAACAACAACAACAGCAATAAGAATATAATAGCCTCACATGCATGTGAAAGCTGGACAGTGAATAAGGAAGACCAAAGAAGAGCTGATACTTTTGAGTTGTGTTGGCAAAGAATACTGAAATATCACAGACTGCCAGAAGAACTAACAAATCTGTCCTGAAAGAAGTGCAGCCAGAATGCTCCTTAGAAGCAACAGTGGCCAGACTTTGTCTTGCCTACTTTGGTCATGTTATCAGAAGGAATTATTGCCTGGAGGAGGATATTATGCTTGGTAAGGTGGAGGGTAACTGAAAAACGGGAAGATGCTCAATGAGGTGGATTGACACGGTGGCTGTAACAGTGGGCTCAGGTTTGGAAGGATTTTGAGGATGGCACATGACCAGGCAGTGTTCTGTTGTGCATAGGGTCACTATGAGTCAGAGCCAACTCAACAGCACCTAATGACAACAACTATATATATATATATATATATATATATATATATAT